ATGAACTTTATCATGTGTCTCCTCTTTATACTCCCACGCAAAAAAGCTGTACACACCTGGTTGCAATCTTAAAACCTAATGGTCGCTGAATGGCCTGAAAAAAGGCACAATTTGAGTATATTAGTATGTTCAGTGCTTTTGGTTGACCATTTTGGTCAATGGTTACGTGTCAACAAACAGTAAAAGTGAAAATCAAAACTCAACATTAAATTGACCTGTCTGTCATTAGAAAAAGCACGACAGTGGGTAAATCACGATGATTGGTTATACACTTTATTTTATTTAATTCATTTTATCAGTGCGGTGCTATATCTGTCTGCGCAACACGCATGTCAGATCTCTCATTTGTGGCTGCCTGTCCTCGCGACTGTAACTTCCACTATTTTTATCTACACTAGAAAACAAAAAGCAGAAAAGAGCATGCATGTTACTTTGTGGCTATAACAACGCTGTTGACACTATGTCCACCATACCCTATAGTCCCTGCAGTAGCATGAGAACCACATAACGTTCAGTATTTAATGTTTTTATTAGACTATAATCAAAACGCATGTTTAGTCAAATTTTTGGGACAAACAGGAAGGGAGTCAGGACAACTGCTCATAATTCAGGACGTCTAGTCACTCTATGTGTCGGTGAGGTTAAAGATGATGGAAATGATGTAACATTAGACCTCTGTATTGTTTTAATATTTTGTATTTGAGAACGTAGTAAAAGTGTGAAACAAGTAGGCTCAACGGTGTTACAGCTACTGGATGTACGACCTATGGTTTTGCAACTGGCAAATAGCAGTAACTGTGAGTCATAGTACCAATTAAGACTAGGAGAGCTTAAGTATTTTTGTTGAACTTAGCAACAAATTTGTACATGGATATAATTTGTAAAATATGTTATTTGACATGTTAAACTCCATGCTGTAATGCAATGCAAAATGTGTAATTTGTTAGAAGGAAGATTATTGTCAAAGTGGTTTAAAAGAAGAAAAAAAGAGATATATTCTTTTTAATAAAGACAGAAAACAGCCTGCTGAACGATCACAAGTAACATCTCCTGTCTCTGCTTTTCCTATACAAAACAGGACACAATATCTGTTCACAAGTCACTCATGCTTAAGGCCTGTAACAGACACTGACATAAATAACTGACATAAATAAAACAATGTCTCCATCTCGAGTTCTTCAACAAAGGAAGTGACAGTAAACAAATTAATATTAATATAATATTAATTAATATTAGTTTTCTGTAATTTTCCATGCAGTCTTATTAAGTATTATTTAGTGCATCAAATGTTACTTGGTGCTTCAAAGGATTTCACCATTAAAACCCTGCAAAGTGGGAGTCAAACTAAATCAGCTGTCTGGTCAAAGACACATCTTTTATAGTTAATGTCAAAAAAATAAAATAATATACCTTTAGATGAGTGGAGAAAGACAGTGATTTGGTTGCTCTTTTTCTTTGGAGGAAGACAAACGACAGCAGCTAGATAATTTAACACGAGAACACTGAGCCAGCGAGGCACATCACTGTTCTGGCTGGAGCTCCTGGACTGGATATAAGTGATAAACACTGTCTCCAGCAGGCTGGCCACCATCAAAGAGAGACTGATAGAGAAAAAAATGTCTGCAGGAAACAATAACAATAACATTTTAGTACATTTTAGTTTCCAAGCAGTGTAAAGCACTCTAAGTCGTCAGAAGACTACAAAGGAGCTATACAAGCACAGTGACATTAAGTACTGTATGTTTTACATGCACGTTAGCAATCTGGTTTTAAGTCACATCTTGGTTATGATCTAATTCTGGGAAATTATGATAACCTTAAAACTTGAAAAACCTGTTATTTATCTCCTTGTAAAAACTAGGGCTGAACGATTAATTGCATTTGTGACATTATCGCGATATGATATGATATGATTAGCACTCACGGGTAAATTGGTGGTTGTGGTGGGTGAAATCACTTTGGCGGACAGGAACAAATGCACACCAGAAAGACACGTGTCGTAAGGTAAGCGTATTGTGGCTATCGGCGCCTATGTCACCTATGCCACCAGTCAGCTCAGGAACTATTTACGTAACAGCGTTTCAAACCAAACGCACAAGTCTGAAAGAGGACCAGCCTGTCTGAGTTATACAGCCTGGTTACAATTGTGCGCTGCTCACCAGCATCGGAGGCTGCACGGGAAGTCCGGTGTTGTCGGAGAATTACTAAGCTTGTCTATTAAACACGAGAAGTGTCACTTGGTTTTCTTTTCGTTGGCCAACTTTAGAAATGAACCTCAAACTGAGTATTTCTGGAGGTTTTTTATGAGAGATGGACTCATTAATTGGTGGTTGAACAGTGGGTTTTGTATTGAGCACTTACTGTATAATACAGATCACACTGGTGAACTTAGTTTTTCTTGTGGTCTGTAGGTAGGCCTACCTGATGATGTTATATCATATTATTTAATGCCATGACTTGACTCTCTAAATATCTTTCTCATATTATTATAATTTGATATTTAATCATAATAATAATTCATGCAATTCATGCATCACCTAATTTCATCATAACACAGGTCTGGCCTACAAGTATTGTGTTGGTCATACTATACACTGATTTACTGCTTGTCCGTTTTGAATAATACAGGAGCTAAAGAGCTTAAAAATTAATTGCATATGAAACTGCAATTGCAATATTGGTAAAAAAAATTGCAATTAGATTATTTACCAAAATTGTTCAGCCCTAGTAAAAACCCAACTATCGACCCTTTACTAGGTATATACTATGTTCCATGTCTGTTTTATTTATATATTTTATTTTACCATCATTTTACCAGGAAGTCCCAGCCACTACTGCAGTTTTAACTGCTGACCTTGTTGGTGTGAGGTCCAAATTAACTACAATAACAACCAGGAGGAGATTACATTTACATTTATTCATTTAGCTGACGCTTTTATCCAAAGCGACTTACAATTGCTATATATGTCAGAGGTTGTGCACATCTGGAGCAACTAGGGGTTAAGTGTCTTGCTCAGGGACACATTGGTGTCTCACAGTGGATTCGAAAACCAAAGGCATGTTGTCTTATCCACTGCACCATCACCACCACTTCCCTTTTACCTCAGGCACTAGCCCAGTTGGTGCCCCTCACAGTTCGAATTTGGGCATTGATCCATGAGTCTTTTTGGTACGTCTGGACCGTACACTGTACATGATAAATGGACGTAGTCATCGCGACATCACCCGTTGGTTTGTGGACTGCCATTTTGAAGCCCCGAGTTTGGCCGATAGGTCGCTGCCATGTTGAGTTTTTGCAAATAGGAAGTGCCCAGAAGTGCCCATATTTGGACGAGACGGCGGAGCTAACGGCCGTGTGCGGCGCTAGCTAGCTTGCTTAGCTAGGTGGATATGCAATTCATGTTAACTGTCATTTTAACAGGGCTTAACGAGTCGCCTCTAGCCTGATTGACAGGTAACGACTCGTCAATCTTTGATAATCCCGCACTGAAACACACTCTGCTTTATGGTCTATGTTCCTCTAAATCGGACCATAATTTACTAAATGAACATCATGCTGTATTGAAGATGACATGAAACTAGCCAATTAGACCATAAACTCATCAGGAAAGTGTTTACTGAGGTAATTATTTGGCATGTACATGTGTTCAGGGTGGGACTCTTATTGAACAGGTAAAATTTCGTACAGATCTGAGCATGTACAGTCAAGTTACAACAACTTCCTGTGTCATGGCGAAACATTTAACTTAACCGTCACGCCACGACCATGTCCTTAACCAAAATCTTACAAATTTTACAACATGGCCCCATCAATGACAGTTTTGAAGTTGATATGGCCAACCTGCTAGGAGTAGTTCATCACAACTTAAAATGTGTCATTTCCTGTTGCCAGCAGGTGGCGCTATGACTTTGAGTGAATATTGGCATATGAATGTGTTCAGGGTGGGACTGTCCAAATTTGGTACAGATATGAGCATCTAGACTGAGGTTACAACAATAACAGCAACAAAAGTCAACAAATGTAGCTAATTTATTGTTTTTACAGCTACCCTAAATCAAATATTAGAAAATAGAATAAATAATTATAAACATTAAACATTAAATAAACTTTTTTTTTTTTTTTACTTTTAATGGACACATGCAAAATGTTTTATACTTTATGTGAATATGATATAATCCAATTAATCTTATTTCCATAATGTACAGACGTTGAATCCTCACGCTAAATTCATCAAGTGCGACCCAATTTGATAAATAATGTTGTATGTGGTTCTCATATCGCGCAACATGAAGACTTCACAGCCTCTCTTCAGGTAGGACTCTCATATTGCAACACTTGTCTTTGTAAAGAGAGAAAATGATAGGATCGCTAATCTGCCTGTCAGCTCGCTCTGATCCGTTTCAGTTACTGTACTATTAAGGCTTTAATACGTGTGCACTCCTAATTTAGGCACGGCAAGCTTAATCGCTTTCTCACAAACGAGTGACAGAAGGATAATAAAAACACACAAAAGAAGAAAAGAAATGTTGCAAAGAGCAGGAGTCAAAGACACAATCCTTTGATTGCAAGTCCTGCGCTCTACCAACTAAGCTAACCAGTGACACTGAATTTGAAAGTGAAGTTCTCCTAAAGAAACGCACCTGACAATGGCTGCCAACCCCTGTATGGTTTGTTATCTCGAGAAAATTATCCCGTTATCATGGGGAAACAACATTCGTTATCTCGAGATTATGAGAAAATTTCACGTTATCACGGGAAAATGGAGTAAAAAAAAAAAATGTAATTGATGGGCGCTTAGGGCTTCCTGACCTTAGTATCAACAACCATAAGACTTTACACCCGCGGAGAGGTTTATCTGTCTTCTCTCAGGTTTACAGGGTCTACAATTGCTTTCCAAGTGTTCATATTTTAGATTTTTACTTTACTTCAAGGTTAATTCCTCTGATTTGGACATTAATCTGAGAAAGTTCACAGACTACTGAAAATCCTTTGAACGTACAGCTCTGTAATGTGGATGTCTGGGACCCACAGATTTGTTCGAGGGACAGAGACTCTTTTGGTTCCACATTCCTCCTCCTCCCAGCTCAGTCCCTCTATGTTCCACTGCTGCATTAAACAGAATAATACAGATGTGATGTGCAGCTTTAGAAAATGCCATCCATTTGAACTGTGTCACTTCATAAACAGAAAGAAAAAAGAAACACAAATATGGCATTTCATATAAAATACTATATTTCAGAATCAGAATCAGCTTTATTGCCAGGTATGTGTACACATACGAGGAATTTGACTCAGGATTGTACATTGCTCATGATGTGCTTACTCATTCAAAAATACCATAACACAACATAAAATCAGACACAAACTACAGTATAGACAACACTAATATACACACTATGATAAAACAATATAGACATATTGACAAATAGTGCAGTGATCAGAGTAAACTATTATTCTCATTATGTACATGTTGAAGGTGGATATGATATACAGGTACACATACATGCATACATGTACACATGTACACAGTGTGATGGAGTATAGTGCAAAGGATGCTGGAAAAAATAAATAAGACCTATGACCTTACGACCTGAGGTAGGTGTATTGAACAGCACTGAAATAGAGAATGGTGAATAAATAAATAATAAGTGGTAACCAGTAAACAGGTGGCTGATTAGAAACAGAGTTACTGGGTTATTGCACAGGAATTGTTCCTGACACTGTGAGTCAGAAATCAGCTGTTCATCAGAATGATGGCTTGTGGAAAGAAACTGCTTCTGTGTCTGTTGGTTTTGGCGTACGGTGCTCTGTAGCGCCTACCAGAGGGGAGGAGCTGGAACAGGTTGTGTCCGGTGTGAGATGGAAACAAACCTACAGTAGAAACCATTCAGCTCGTCTACCAGTTGTTGAGTACAAGCAGTGTTGGGGGATGGTCTCTTGTAGTTTGTGAGTGTCCACAAGCCACTCCACACTGATGCTGTTATTTAGCTTTTCAGCGTAGCACCTCTTTGCAGCTTTGATCTCTTTAGTCAGCGTGTTCCTGGCCTGGTTGTAAAAGACTCTGTCCCCACTTATGAAGGCCTCTTCTTTGGTCTGACGAAGCTGCCTGAGTTTCGCTGTGAACCAAGGTTTTTGGTTATTGTATGTGCGGAAGGTTTTAGTCGGCACACACATGTCCTCACAAAAACTGATGCAAGATGTCACAGTGTCAGTTAGTTCTAAGGCTGCATGGGGAACAGAGCAATAGGCATCCTTTAATGTTGTGTAGCATTGGTCCAGTGTCAGTTAATGTCCCTTGTGGGACACTTATATGCTGTCTGTACTTTGGAAGTTTGTGGCTGAGGTTTGCTCTGTTGAAGTCCCCAAGAACAATGAGCAGGGAGTCTGGGTGTTTTTTCTCCACTATCTGGTCGGCCAGGTGTAGTAATGCCTCACTAACAGGCCTGAGGTGGAATGTATAGAGAAACAGAGTCCGCCTCCCCGTGTTTTTCCCGTGAGCTCCCTTTCGCGATCTGCGCGGATGAGATTAAATCCCGGTAGATGAAGTACGCTGTCCGGGATGCGCTCGGTGAGCCAGGATTCGGTCAAACAGAGGGCAGCAGATCTGCAGAAGTCTGAGTTAGTTCTGTTGAGGAGCAGCAGTTCATCCATTTTGTTGACCAGAGAGCAGACATTCGCCAGGTGGATTGAAGGGAGCGCAGTGCGAAATCCCCGCTGTCTCAGTTTAACCAGCGCGCCTGCTCGTTTTCCCCTGCGCCGCTTCCGGAGGATCCCAAACAGAGCTGCTGCTCCTCCAACTAATAACTCTGGGAAAGTTCCAGGGTCAATAAAGAGCGGTGGAATAGTATGAGCAGTTGAAAGTCCAATGTTTAAGAGCTCTTAGAGGGACGGCAGAAAACAGCGTTAATTAACAAAAAGCACTATGGAGGGTAATCCTGAGGCGGCCTCTGCGGCGCCATCTTGGTTATTTCTGAATGACATATTTTAATTGTGCGGGGAAAAGTCGAAATGTTACCATGATGAGGATAAGCATATAAGACATTTCAACATTTTGCACAAAAATATCTTTTGTCACAAGTTAATGACCAATAGCAAGTAAATTAAGAGTAAAAAGTATCATTTGGAATAAGAAATTTTTTTTTCGACAGCTAGAACCTGCAAATTTCTGATGTTGGTGCCTCCAGTGGTTGTCTCCTAACCTTGAATTGGCTTATTTTGCTATAAATAAAAATTAATGTAATGACAATAATTCTGAAGATTCTATAAAGATATAAAATATCTACACATGGTGGATTTAATTTGACTAAGAATTCAGAATTTATTGATGTTTATGTCAGTGCTCTGAAAACTTACCAGATCTTGCCATAAGACTGTTGTAAGGGTTTCAGCCTTGTCATCCCATGGATGAGACATATGTTTTGTGAGCCCGTAATAAAGAATAATTATGAATTAGAATGACTGACCATTTCCACTGCTATGCGGATGACACCCAGCTCTACCTGTCCACCAAACCTACCACATCTCTCCCACCCACCTCCCTCTCTGATTGCCTAACCGAAATCAAATCCTGGTTCTTTTGCAAATTCCTCAAACTTAACAGTGACAAAACTGAGGTTCTCCTCATTGGCACCAAATCCACTTTGGCTAAATCTGACAGTTTTTCTCTTACAATTGAAAACTCCCCAATTTCCCCCTCCCCTTCGGTCAAGAGTCTGGGTGTGATCCTCGACAGCACACTTTGAATAATAACCCAGGCGTCCATATGGGACAGGCCTTTAATTCCTTTTTGCACAAAACTGAAACTACTATGAAACAGTTTTTTTTATTTCAAACACAAAACTTACTGTACAAAACTTATCCAATAATATCAACACCACGAAAACAACATGGTGCAGGATGAGAGAAGTTAGCAGACAGAGAGTGATGGACTTCACATGACAGGATTTACAACTTGGATAAATTTTTATGAAAAGCTGTTTTGATTCTTTTTTATCGGTGGACCCTTACAGACTAAAGAAATATAAATAATCAAGGAATGGACACATTTGGACTCAACCAGCGGACTTAACGAGCTCTTCAAAGGTAACGGCATTCATCACCTTTTTTCCTTTCCTCTCTCGTACCATGCAGGTTCCGCCAGTAAATCTATAAGAATTAGACTTTGGGGCTCGTCGTTTGAATTGTGGAGAATCTAACGATCTAACGATGTGTAGCATTACATACTGACATATTGATCATACGTTTAAACATTAATAAGGGGTTTAAGAGGTTTTATACATCCAAAGAACTTCTATAAAAACCAGACCAGACATTTAATGGGGACATGGGTTTATTTTTCAAAATGTGTTCCCACACCAGGCCAGTACAGGAGATAGGTGGCTATTTGGGACTCGGCTATTAATTGAAGTTTTACAGTAATGTCACTCGGTCTGCATACTTCCATTTACGTAACATTACTTTCCTCCGACCGTCTTTCTCACCCGCTAGTACAGCCAATCTCGTTCATACACTGGTCACATCCCGCATTGATTATTGTAATTCTCTTCTCATTGGTCTTCCTCTCAAATCAACTCTGCTACCCATATCATCACCAGAACCCTTTCTATAAATCATAACAGCTTCATTGCCTCCCAGTTAAATACTGCATTGATTTCAAGACTCTGCTCCTGACCTTCAAGGCCGTTCAAAACCGTGCTCCTCTGTACCTCAATGACCTCCTTCATATTAACACATCCACCCGTACTCTTAGGTCTTCTTCTTCTATTCACCTCACTTTACCTCCTGCTTGTTTGACCACCATGGGGTTCAGAGCCTTTAGCTGCTCTGCCCCTCGTCTCCGGAACTCTCTTCCACCAGACATCTGCAACATGGACTCGCTTTCCATTTTTAAATCCCTCCTGAAAATACATCTTTTAACAACTGCCATTTCCCACATGATCACTATTTTTCAGTCACAGCAATCTAAAACCAGTTGTTATGTACCCTGATTTTTTGCACTGTAATTATAGTTGTTAATTTTATCGATTTATTGCTGTACTGTTTTATTATGTTTTGTGAGGTGACCTTGAGTGTTCAGAAAGGCGCCTATAAATAAAATGGATTATTATTATTATTAAAAAACGTCATAATGTGCAGGCATAAATAGGTGTTGTGTAGACTCACCAATCCTAAAACTCCCACCACAGTGATATCAATGGTCACGTTAGATTTGAAAAATATTTGACGGGACGCACCAGTTGTTTTTGGAATAATTCCTCTTTAAGTGCATCAAACAAGGAATCAGGAGTTGGGCTGGTGCAATTCAATGCTGCTACAAAACCTGAGTTTAAAAAGAGAAAGTAGAAAATGAAATTTGTGAGAAAGCTCATACATGCACAAGGAAGTACAGCAGCTCTTTTATTGTGCTATTATGCGCACAGAAGCATTGTAGCTCTTTCTTTGTCTGCTGTACACAATATGAGTATGTTAGAGAAGCCAACAATGGCTGTGGTTACAATAGTTTTGTTATCTTGAGATCACAGGGGTAAAATTAAATTACTACAATTGCTGTTATCGGCTTCTAAAGGTAAAGGTACTTTCCTGTCACATACACATACAGTACATAGCGAAATTCATCCTCTGCATTTAACCCATCCCCCAAAAGAGCAGTTTGCAGCCACTGTTCAGCGCCACTTGGGCACTATGCTGTGGTGGGAGACTGCACACATTCAAGAGCTTCAGTCACATTATAGCCTCTTGCCTTTGATACATCTGAAAATCTGAGATCTTTAGAGTCACTGTATGTCTTCAGACACTTATAAAAGTGTTAATGAGTTGTAACTGAAGGCTTCATTAATGGTCAGTGAAGACCAGCTTTTTCCACAACATGGCAATGCAAAAGTTCTTATAATAGCTTATAATGTCCATAAAATATTAGTAATAAATGTCCATAAAATATTAGGCCCAAACATTGTTTATAAAATAAATAAAGCCATTAGTCACAACTTACAAAAAGCTTCCAGTATAAAGGGTGCCTCAGTAGAATATAGGCACTGTTTTTTAAAAATCACATTTGTGCACAATAACTTTGACAATCTTTTAATAACCACAATAGAGATGAATTCTCTGAATTTCTGAAAAATAAAAGTTAGAAATTATTATTATTACACTTTATTGTCCACCTTAGTGGAAATTTGTCTTCGATTCCTCAGAACAGATAAACAACAGTGACACCACAGTTAAATTATAATTTAAATAATAAATGAATTCCTCATAGAAACAAGGTCTGAAACAATATTTATAAATGTACCATGTTATAAAACTAATTTAGTCAATATGCAAACTGTTATATATATACTGTTGGCATATATTAATTATTTATTTTCTTGTCTTTTATAACTACATATATATGTTCTAAAACGGGAAAGGGCAATACTTGCATTTCACTTGAGATTGTTTGTATTTTATGACAACAAATCTTAAGTTAACTTTCAACTAAACTTTTTTGAAAGAGGTTTCCACTGTATAGGACCAGAAGAAACGTGCCCAACTACCAACTTGCAATGTTTAAGACTTTGACAGGTCATCTTCTTAGCTTATTTTCTGAATAGTCATAATGTATTCCTGCCTTACCGTGAAACAGCATGAAACAGATGAAGATGAGCTCAGCAGGCTTTACTCTGTCATTTTCATTCTCAGTGAAGCCTCTACTATAATAAGTGCCTCAGATCACATACCAAAGAAGTCAAAACAGTGTGCTCCATCAGAGTGAGATGTTCTGCAGGGGTAACATCAATTTATCAGTAATTAGGTGAAATTTGTAACCACCTCCACTGACTAATATTGACTCAGTTGACTGATTGATGTGGCATGACTTAAGCCATAGGGGTTTTCCCAGTTGCTTGCAGAGATCCACTCATTTTTGAGTAACCATATTTGCATAATGATTGCATAGATTGTACAACAGGTTGTTGAATCATCAACAGGTAGATTTGCTTCATAATGTGTATTCTTGTATTTGTGACAGCTGAGGCCAAGGCAAACACAAAGGTAGGCACTTGGATGGTTGTTGTATCAGTTGAGAATGTACAAAAATTATGCTTTGCCTCTTTTAGTGCTGCGATGGTTAAGTATGTTAGTGAGGCTGAGGAGGCTGAAAATCAGATACCTTTAGTCATATCAATTCAAATCCATTCAATCTAGCTTTATTGGCATGAATGTAAAACAACAAATGACACTGCCAAAGCCACAAATAAATTACAAAAGAGCAATTCATTTTATACAGTTCATTAATAACTATAAAAAAATAAAAAATAAAGATAAAGTAAATAATACAGTAATAGGGTTTGTGTATGTGTGTTAAAAAATAAAATATTAAAATTTAAATAAATAAATAAAACAGTATCAAATGTGAGATTAAAAAAAAACTAATATATTTAGTGCATGAGGTTAGAAAGTGCAGCTCTGTCTCTACCTGTCGTCTGTCACACTGGGAGCAGATTCTCTTCTCTATCTGTGGCGACCCTTTTCTATGGCCAGGCTGTGTTCACTTAGTCTGTATGTTGTCAACATTTTCTTAGTTTAGGACATTTATTTTGCTCAGGTAATATGCCAGTGTGAATTCTCTTTTTAGGGTCAGATAACATTGTAATTTACTTTGTGTTTTGATCGTTTCTTTCCAGTATTCAATATATTTTTCTTTTTGCATGCTGATAATTTGGTCTGGTCTGCTTGAGTTGGTGTTGCTGTGCTGAGTCTGGAGACTTGTTACTGCAGAGAGCCTCAGGATCAGCTGGCTGAGGGGACTCTTCTCTGGTTTCAGCTCCTGGTATGTTACGGCTTTGTGATGGTATATCTGGGGGTTAACTGATTTTAAGTGATTGTAAAATTTAATTGATCTTTTCTGTATTTTTAGTAAGAGGGGGTATTGGCCAAGCTCTGCTCTGCACAGATTATTTGTTGTGTCAAGGTTGTGCGTGTTGTGGCTTCACAAATGCTTTGCTGCATACCTCGGTTGTAACGAGTGGTTATTTCAGTCAAAGTTGCTCTTCTATCAGCTTGAATCAGTCGGCCCATTCTCCTCTGACCTCTAGCATCAACAAGGCATTTTCGCCCACATGACTGCCGCATACTGGATTTTTTTCCCTTTTCACACCATTCTTTGTAAACCCTAGAAATGGTTGTGCGTGAAAATCCTAGTAACTGAGCAGATTGTGAAATACTCAGACCGGCCCGTCTGGCACCAACAACCATACCACGCTCAAAATTGCTTAAATCACCTTTCTTTCCCATTCTGACATTCAGTTTGGAGTTCAGGAGATTGTCTTGACCACCACACCCCTAAATACATTGAAGCAACTGCCATGTGATTGGTTGATTAGATAATTGCATTAATGAGAAATTGGAAAACAGGTGTTCCTAATAATCCTTTAGGTGAGTGTATATTAGCTGTTAAGATCAGTGGAGATGATGCACAGGGACAGGATGATGACCCCAGTCATGTTGATGAGGAGTGAGAGAAGGAACAGAAGGAGCAGCAGCAGCAGCAGCAGCAGGAGGAGGAGGAGGAGGAGGAGGAGGAGGAGGAGGAGGAGGAGGAGGAGGAGGAGGAGGAGGAGGAGGAGGAGCAGGACGGTGAAGAGAAGCAGCAGGAGGAGAAAGTAAATGGAAACAGACAAAACAGTGACAGGTACATGGGTTTGTTTGTCACCTGTGTAGCTGTACAATCAGTAAAAGCAGACACACACACACTCTCACAGCATTGTAGTTTTTGACTATATTTAAGGTGAAGGTCTTCAGCATAATCTGATTCACTGTATACAACACTAATATGTATTAAAATAACTGCAAAAAATATTTCTGCTCGCCCCCAAAGGGCGCTTGCATAGAAAACCTCTCCGTCTCAATGTCCCGGGCTGAATTTCAGTCAGGTGTTTACAATAGACTGTATAAAGGTGTTTA